ACATTTCCACAACATATATATATATATATATCACATATACTAATAGCCCGTCAGGCTTAGTATAGCCTTCCTCTAACTGTGAGTGGTGAAACTCAACTTATTTGCGGGCATTATAAAATATACAATTTCCATAATACTTTTTTGCTAATTTTTTAGACAAAATTAGCATTCACACTGTCATACCAACTAGGCTCGTACAATAATGTACAGCAAAGTACATTATATTTACTGGCAATATCAGTAGCCAAACTAGCAAACTTATACAATAATATCTTCACTCAAGAGCCAATCCGCTTGTTACAGTTACTATCGCAAAAAATAAGTATAAGCAAATCCAATGAAATAATACCTATTTCATTTAGATTCACTACAATTTGATTGATATTCGATATTGAGTAATTTAAGAGAACTTTCAACACTTGACTAGATTATGATTATTTGGAGAAACGTACTCAATAAATTGAAAATTAAGTGATGCAATACCATTAAGCTGAGTTTTTGAATTCCTTTCCAACACATCCTTTTGTGAAAACTCATGATATTCTAGGCAATATATCTGTAAACACCTGATGGCCTGATTATGCAGTAATCGAGCAGCTGTCAGTCGAGATCATGTGGATATTGCATGTGACACTCTGCTCAACACCTTGGAAAGCAACTGTTGCAAAACTTGTGATTTACAACCATACTAATTTAGAGACAATCTACGGTAATCACAAGATACATTTTGTTCTACAGTATCATCCAATAGCTGAGAGAACCAGGGTTACAAAGAACTTTCAGTTATTGGTTTCTCGACCAAATGAACATCCTAGCTGCTGATATGGCTGTTAATGCCAGCCAAAGTTATAAGGAGAGCATATCAGGCAACCACTAGAGGTTTCTGGTACCTCACCCAAAGAAATCAGACCTCTGCAATAACAGTATCCTGGTCACAGCCCTCAAAATTTGTTCCTCCTTCCTAATTTATGATGTTCCCAGTTTGCCTCAATTTCCCTCAGAGTAGTCTGCAGGAACTACGAAAATAAAAGATTAATCAAATACTGTATTATCTCAGCCTTTGCCCGATCATTTACATAAAGGAAAGAAACTATCATAATCTTTATTCACGAAATCAAGTTTAGGTAAAATCTAGAGAAGTGCTTGTAATGGGCTAGAGAGAGAGATAATTTTACTTGTGCTCGTCACCAGTGTGTCTTCTAGACTATTAGGTTAAAGTTAAGGTGTGCTACACACAGTCTACGTGTTTGTATAAAATCACTCTCCAACAGAGTGTAAACTGAATAATGATAACTTGACAGACAAAGAATCTCAGTAAATCTGTATTTGTGCATATCTTTATGCGCCTAAATTCTCAATTATACTATCCTGAAAAACGGAGGGAAACATATTGTTACGTATCTGCTCGTTTGTTAATTTCTGGTATAAATTGTTTCCAAGGAACTTCAGATACAATTCCTTTCTTAATTAAAACTAGCTTATTCTTTCTTGATAC